GGGGGGTGGGGGTGGGGGGAGGACCAGGGAGGATGATTCAACCACTCAACCACTAGATGTCGCTGAAAACAACAAATCCTACACACTGTGCCTTTAAGAAGGCAAGAAGAATGTGGATGTCAAATAATATTAAATGATCAAAGGGAAGTGGTTGTGTAGAGGTTAGATAATGTGAGCCTGTGACCAGGAAGTTGCCGGTTCAAATTCCTGGACCGACAACAAAAATATATGTGGGGAAACCCCCGTTTGCCCCACTCTGGGCTGTTGAGCAAATCCCTTAACCCCCCTCAGCTGCTCACGTGGCGCCTTAAATGGCAGCCCTGTGCTCACGTGTGCGATAGGAAAAACACAGAACAAATCAGTTCCCCACTAAGGGACAATAAAGGTTTGTAAAATAAAAATTAAAATCTTGCAAATTGTTGCACACTGCAGGTTTTTCGAATCTTGTGCAAAGCCCAGTAATTAGATAGAATCAAAATCTTTATCTCAATATTTTCCCAAAAGTTTACCCACACTGGTTTCATCTGATGCAGAGCCATTCGGAGACATTGGATTAAAAAAATAAATGAAAATATGTGGCCATGAGATAATAACCCATGGCCACGAGATAATTATTGCAGTCATTTCCATGCAGAGATTGTTGATTGTTAACTTGGAAAAGTCTAAATTAAATAAATTTCATAGTATATGACGCCCCAATATAACTGCTCAAAATGATCTTGTGGCCACTTTCTGGGATTTTCAGCTCTGGAATTAAAAAAACAATTATAACTTGTGGCCATGCGTTAATTTACAGTCTCCGTAATCTGAATTGTTCCTTGCTGTTAATTGTTTTAACTCACACAAATATATTTTAAGCACTCCTGCAATTATCAAAGTATTTTTTGTATTTTGTCATAATTTGATAAACCTTTTTTATGTGAGTCAAATCATTAAGAATAAAATGTATGTTACGTCGTGACCATCTTGTTTTTGTTGATGCAGTGTTTTGTTCTTATATGTGACCTTGCTCTAGTGTATCTGTGGTGTTTCCTTGTTGCAGTTCTTCCTCAGTCAGTCAATTTATACTCTTATTCCTTGCCCTTAAGTAAGGTGCAAACCAAACCCATAATGGCAACTTGCAGGGTTACAAGGTTGTATGTCCACAGTATGTGTCAAGAACACAAAGGATTAGAGAGACAGAGTAAACAAACAATGGCAACACCTGTTACACATAAAAGCATCTGAGCATTAGCCTAGCATGAAACAATGGGCCTCATGCAAGAACATGTTCATATTCTTATCCTAAATTTCTCTTTTGTTCGTACAAAGGGTTCGTACAAACATGTCACGTCAGATTCAACAAACTCTTCTAT